AAATTGTGATTATTTTGACAGAATAGCAACAAGAGCGATTTGATTCACGATTAGTGTGGGAATGACCATTTTTGCATCACAAATTTAATTTAAAATCATGATGCTGTGACATTTTTTTGGGGTCTGTACCATAAAAAAACAAATATGTTTTTACAAATCTGGAGAACAGGATTTGTAGGCCAGGCCATACCTCATTATAATGCTGTTTTCTCACATAAATCACCTTCATCGAAAACACTGCAGCTTCTGCTATCTGCATATTGCACTGGGTCATATTGTGATTTTGATAATATCTCGACAGTGCAGCCCTACAATATACCACAACCTGGACCACAACGTGTCCCTATGAACCCCATCTCAGAGGATTTTGGTGCAAGATATGACAGTAGACTGGAGGGTCAGAGTGGGTACAGTAAAACCTATAGATAACATTACCACCCTGCTATACTATCTTATTGCACTAATTTTAGGGGGCGATAATAGTGAGATTCAGGCATTTGGTTAAAAGGACTCCATAGTGGTCCCTGCAGGTCACACATTTCTGCCTGGTCTCCTTAGGGAAGCACTAGCCTGACTTACAGTCACGTATAGCTGATGGCCAGTAAGTGAAGCCTCGTTAGACTGAGCTTCATGGGGCGATCCTGCTTACTGTACACCAGTGACAATGAATAAACACTCATACTAGCCACACGGCCGAGTGGACACCGTGTACTGCACTCGACCAAAATAGACATTAGCGAACAGATAGCACACAGTAACATATTTAATATACCTTTTAATGCCACAGGTGTTCGTTATACAACCCGTAAGTGAGCAACCCGTATAGCTATAGCTAGCAGGCTAACTAAGCTTGCTACCGAGGAGAAAAAAAAAAAAAAAAAAACCTGCCCATTTAACTGAGAGATTTTAAAGCTCTTACTGCCCCACATCCTGTCGCTACACTCACCGATACTGAATGACACACTTACGGCAGGTAAAAGCATTTTCACGTTCTCTGAATAAACAAGAGGGAATATGTAGCTCTCCGACCGTGGCAGGCTGCTGCCGAAGCCTCAAGCTGTCACGCAACAACTGACATTGAAGACAAAATAATCTCTAAAAATATTACCCTTGGTCCCCTCACACAGCGCGAGGAAACTACAGGAGCCTAAGCGTCCGCGCGGGGCAAGATCCTCGCGAAATCCCACAAACACACAAATGTCGGTCGCGGAGAAACGTCTAAAAGCAGCAATGGTGGAAACATTTTCGCGGCAGATGTATGTACACACACACACACACACACACACACACACACACACACACACACATACACATACACATACACACACATACACACATACACATACACATACACACACATACACACACTGACAGGGATACGCGCACACGCTCGCCCACTCGTACACATAGACACTGGTGCTGCTCTGAATGTGGGTCACTGGGCCTTGCTCTCCCTGAAGCGTGCGGAAACAAGCCCGAAGTCTCCTCTGCAGTCCGACCGCTTCCGCACGCTTTAAAAAAAAAAAAAGAAGAAGAAGAAGAGGAAGAAAAAAAAAAAAAAAAAGAAACACCGTTTAACGACCACCAACGGTCGTGGTATTTCACAATCAAACAACGGCTACCGCCAGCGTTTGGATATGCATTGAAGAAAAAAAAAAAAAACAACAACAACAAACCCACTTTACCTTCCCGAGTAATCGAAAGCAGCCTCCGTGTTTTTGCTTACTTGAACGTTGCATCGAGGCGGTGGGGGCCAGGAGGACTCCGGGGTTGGGGAGAAAAACAGGAGGCCTACTTCATATTACGACGTAGAGTCATGCGCAATGGAGAGAGTAGGGCGCACTATTTTGCAAGTACAGTAGCAGCGAGAAACGGTGGCGATCGCTGAGTGATCTTCAGAGAGGGGGGGTGGTGAGGAGCAGGGGGGTGGTGAGGAGCAGGGGGATGATTCCGCCTGTTTTTGTGGCTTTTCCAGCCGGACTAGTCCTCTCAGTGCCACCTAGTTTTTGGATATGATAAGATATTAACTGGACAGTGTATCGGCTCTGCGTTGCTCACTCGTAAATGAATGCATTTAAAGCGGATGCTACACCGGATAATGTCTAGTTAATTCGTATTTTATTAAAGTCTTGGCACGATACTTGTTGTAAAATGTTAAATCGCACCCATATTTAAGTGTTTTCGCACTTACATTAATGTGCATTGGTTTTTTGGGTTTTTGTTTTTTTACCACCACCGTGTTATTTGCGGTTTAACAGTTGATGTCACGGTGAATGTGACATTGGACGGTCGCCAGGACGGTGCAGAGCAGGGTAGGGATGGCCCTGGCTGATGGCAAGGGGTTTCCCCTTTTATCGACATCCAATCAGAAGCTCGACTGACCGTGACGTTGCACCTATACAGTGTCGAGGTCCCCCTAAATTCATATTATAGTGTACTTTGACACTAGAATAATTATTTATGAGGCATGATGTTCATATTTTATTCAGACGACTGTGACATTTACTATATTTCCACTGACATAACATCAAATAATATATACAAGTGTCACCTTGTCATCCTCACATCACCTACTACAGTTGTACTCTCCTAGTCTTTCTTGCAGCAAAGTCATCTACAACATCATCATACGACAAATGATTTGAGACCACATGATTGATGCTTATGATGGAAAGTCCACTGAGTTCTTGCATCATAGTAGATCTCAGGTAAGGTTTAATGAGTCTGAGCTTGGAGAAGCTTCTTTCAGCAGCAGCCACTGTAACAGGAAGAGTTGGGTGTTACAGTCTAATAATAAAAGAAATGATTCCAAGAATAAAATTAAATAATAAAAATGAAAAACCTAAGAGATGCATTACTTTCACTGTACTGTACATTAATGATATACAGTGCAATTTCTTCTGATATGCAAATTAGATTAGATTTAATCTTATTGTCATTACAGTGAAATGCTGATTAGCAGAATGCAAAGAAGCAGTAAACTGCAGTATAATATAACATATGGGAATGTATTAACATTAATGATGTGCACTTTAACATGAATGTAAAGTGTAACACTATAAACACACTTTAGACAATCCTGAACTGTAACACAACAAACAACAAGGCTTACAACTCTAATATATAAAGGTGTGTGAAAAGAATAGCATTTGACTGTTACAAGCAGAGCAAACATTAGCTAACCAATAATAAATACAAATAAAAATGTAGACAAATGTAAACAGCTGCTGAATAGATCTAATCTTTACAAATGTCCCTGAGAAATATAAGGTGGGAGTATTACTTTTTTCCATAACAGCTGTTAGGCCCCTCCATAACATGAACTGACTGGTATTGTTCTGCAACAGACAAATCATTTCATCACATTATCTTTACTGTACCTCTGTCTTTGTCGCGTTTTTCCTCCTCTTCTTTTCTTTCCCTGGGCACCGGAAAGTTTTGGTCTTTTTGACGTTGTTAATGGTTTCTGGGGTGACGTCAGAAAACTCAACCATCTCTCAGAGAGCAGGTAGAGGAGGGGGGGCGGGGGGCTTAATAAAGTCTTATTATTATTTAATAGGCTTTGCTATGCAGTAAAATTAATGTGTTTTTTTTTTATACTAAGAAATAGTAGCACCAACTAGTTTTAGTATAAAAATATTGAAAGTTGCACCTTTTTTTTTTTCTTCCCCCATCGTGGTGCCCTCTAGATGGACGGCACCCTTAGCATTTGCCTATACTGCCTATGCAACGGGCTGGCACTGACACTAGTAATATCCAAACCCACAGTTCTGGCCTGTACACCTATATTACTCAAGATTAAAAATAGATAGAAGCAGATAGATAACTACTAAAGTTTTTCTTAAATCCTGATTTTAAAACTAAAATCAAAACAATAGCTCAACTGTTGCCTGTCCTACATCAGTAGACAGGTTTTTGGCTGTGTCATTCATCCTCCTATATCAGTGTTGTGAGGGGAATTATCAGCTCTAACAAAGCGAAAGAAAAAGTAATTTATTGCATCCAGCTAAACTACCTGCCCTCTTCTAACATAAAGGTTACCTCCCTGATAAACTCCCTGAGCTGACTGCATGAAACATTGGTCTTTCACCTCCGTCCTCTGTCGTCAAAGTCCGACTATCTAACCAAAGCCAAGGGTGAGAATCACAGAGTACAGTTAGTCATGATGTGATACCATCAAAAACAATATAATAAAAATAATAAAAATGGCGTCACCATACAAGCAAACAATTCAGTTATGTGATACATTATTATACAATGCATCATAACATCAGTCACAAATACCTATTTATACCTAAAATCAGTGGTGGAATGTAATTAAGTATATTTACTAAAGTACAATTTTGAGGAACTTGTATTTTAATTGAGTATTTTCATTTTTATGCTACTTTATACTTCACTGCAAGTTACTTTTCAGATCAAGTATCAGTATATAAAAGACAATGCTGTGTTTATAGGTTTAGCTACCCAAAATTATATAAAGCATTTGAAATTAGCTTCACCTCAAGTAAAGCTGTAACATTACAGTACCGTTTACATGTTAATGCATCAAGAATAATGGTGCAGTAGCATAATGATAACACTTTTATACTTTTACTTCAGTGAAATTTTGAATGCAGGACTATTACTTGTAATTGAGTATTTCTAATGTGGTATCACTACTTTTTAATTAAGTCAGTGATTTGAATACTTTCTTCCACCACTGCCTAAAATGCTAACAAAAAAATACAACTTTTCAAGGTCATAACAGTCACAAACGGACAAAATGCTGAATCACCGCAAAGCATAACAGTTCAAGAGTTCAACTGACCGTAGCAATTAAAGATAAGATAAGGTAGAACTTTATTGTTGTGCAGCAGTTGAAGCACAAAGTATGAGAGAGTGCAAATCAAAATGTACACAATGCCAAAAATGTAAACGGGTTAACTGTAGTGACCATAAATATCAACCGGTGAGGTGCAAATCTAAATAAACAATGCAAACTTAAAACCTTTTTCAACCTGTGAACATTAGGTATAACATAAAACGTACATATTGTGAAATCTATAATCTATTTGTTTAATGAAAACAGTGTTCCAGCCTTGGGCGTGTGCATTAAACTGCATTAACTCTATTGTAGATTTCTTAATGCATAACACTGCCAACCTCATTAATTCATTCCTTCTGCGTGGACTCATTATACCTCCGCACCTTCGGATAATTTCTCTCTGTCTCTTATTCCTTTCTTCAGTCTCCTTCCTCTCTGTGAACTCAGTTTGCCCCCTCGCTTTTCCTCTTTTTTTCTCTGTCATCATTTTCAGTTCTTTAATGCTTTGTTCGGATTAGCCATTATCTGCTTCTCAAGGATTCTCCCCCCCTCTTTCCTATCTGTTATTTTCTCTCCTTTCTGATCTTTCCTTCCCTCAGCAGCCGTTCCTGCATAATCAGTGTTATTCATTCCTTAATTCATCTCAACAAACTGCTTTTTCACATTCACCTCCTCTGTTCTCGTCTTCTCTCTTCAGATCCTCGGTTGTTTCTTTTCTTTTCTTCGTTCTTTGCCTCAATTTTTTTTCCATTGTTATATTTTCCGACTCTTATTCCTCTGCAACCTTCACATCTTCCCTTCTTTCCTGTTTCTTGATTACTTTTTTGTATTTCTCTGCCTTTTCTTTTTTACTTTCTTTCTTCCCAAACTTCATCCTTCCTTCCAGTGTTACACAGATCTTCTCCTCATCCTTGCTGCCAGGTGCTCTGACTTTACTCCTGAACTCTACACACCTCCTCCTAATCCTCTTTAGTCATGCATCCCTCTCTTACCAAACCCCTCCCCTGTTGTCTTATAAAGTATTATAGTTGTTATGCATAAATCCTGTTGGTTTTCATAGCTCCTCACCTGCATGTTTCCATAAACTGCAAAGTCAAGGTTAATGGGAATGCTCACAAAAAAATTACAAGCATATTTTCTTACAAATACAGATATAAACACATTGATGTAGCATTTCCATTGAATATAAATGGGAAATCGTTGCCTTTATTTTTGTGCCCTTCCAACAAATATACAAAAACTACCATCCTGTGCTTGGGTTGGGTCTTTTGGGTTAATTATTGTACAAATGAGAATCCTGTCAATGCACATGGTGGACATACTGGGGTTAATGTTTATGATAAGTAAGTACAACAAACCTCATGTGTTATTCATAAGATTCAACACTTGTATGTTTCCTTTCCTTCCTACTTCCTGCCCATCCGCTCATCTTTCCATCTCAGAGGCAAAAAGCCTTTCAAGTGAACACCCACAAAAACCATCAACAACAACAACAACAACAGTAGTAAAGCACTTAACTGTGCAACGACCCATCTATGTTTTCACAAATGTGACAAATCCAATGGAGCCACACTCTTTCCTGCCAACAAATCAAATCAGAGCTTTGCTGGTTCATTCTGGGGCAGTTTGCTCATGGAAAAGTCCTCCCGTGCTGTTTTGATCCGCCTCTCACGACCTGGAACTTGCTCAAAAGTGTAATATTATGTTCTTCCTGCTCATCAGTATTGTCTTATGGAGCCACAGTCACTAAAGAAGTGTAGCATCCTTTCTGTGCTTGTGAAAATCCCTCCATTTAAGTGCCCTCACCCCACTTGTACCTGTTCTCTGAGATTGAATTATTACCGGGTAATGGAAACCATGCAGAGTGCTGTGGGACATCCTTTTCCCACACAACAACCGTTTAATCACAGACAAAAAACGGGCACCGTGCCACATTATACATATATACATCTATCTGTGAGTGAGTGGAGACAGAAAGACCACGGAAAGAACGAGAGAAAGAGACTGTGAGGGAACATATAACCACATACAGTACAACTACTGTAAAGTAATGTATGCTTTGGGTGAGACACGCTCATGAAGTAAGCACAAATCCAAGAGAGAAATCCATATTTGCGGGAAACTTGCATCAGCATCATAATGGATCTTAATTGAAACAATAAAAGGGTAAAATGATGAAGAGACTGGCCTTTAATTGCTCCCTTTCTTCAAATCCCTGGGCAATCCTGAGCAAGTTGGTATGAAGGCATTACTTAAATGAAAGATTTAACATCGATCATCAAACCTGACCGCTGCAGTGTGTGTGTGTGTGTGTGTGTGTGTGTGTGTGTGTGTGTGTGTGTGTGTGTGTGTGTGTGTGTGTGTGGTGGGGGGGTAGAGTAAGGGCTCATTTCACACACAACCACATACTTTCACGGGTTCTGACCAGAGGAAACATCACCACCTCCCTCCCCACCACTGCTAGGTCTCAGTGTTGTCTAGTGTCACAAGCCTCATTATTTTTTTCTCACCTTTTTCTCTTCTGGATTTTCTTATCTCTTGTTTGTGACTCTCTCGTTATCTCGTTTAACTGTTTTTTGATCTTTTTTTTTTTTAAAGCTTTTTCCCACCATACGATCTAAATTCTTCTCCTCTTCCTCTTCTTCAGTGATGTCGTCTCTTCTGAGGGAGGAGATGCAGAGAGTTTTATTCCGACCTGAAAAACAGAGACTGGTGGAGTTTATTGAGATTGAAGAGCCCGCACAAGGAAGACATTTCCTCTGTGTCTCAGGTAAACAACTTTCTTGTTAATTAGATATTTCAAAACATTTTTGAAAGCAGGTTTTATGGGTTAAATCTGCTCAGTTATTCAAGATTTTTTATTTCATTTTATACAGCATTTCTAATCTTGATATTGGAATTTATCTTTACAAGTTGTATAGAATATTATTTTGGAAATGTGTTGAACATGACCTTGTATGAAACCGGCCATGTAAAGTCTATGAGGCTTGAAATGACTCAAGGTTTTACTTTTACTGCAGAGGGAAAATGTCTGCTATCTGCTGTCTGCATTGCACACGTATGCTTACACTTGTTATTTCCCCTTTTTCTGCAGTTGCAAAAAACAAAGTGGTGCAGTTAAGTATAGTGGGATGTCAGGCATCTCAGGCGTCTGGATCCAAGAAGTCCCACACCAAACGCTCCAGCATACAGGAGTGCTACAGGAGGATGGAGACCTGGTCCCTGCAAGACCTGACTCTTGTTGATGGACGAGACCCTGATGTGGTAATTAACTAAATTTAACTGCAGTTTCCATAGCTTATTATTGCATTATTTCCTATAGTTTTCTATAGAAAGGATGAAATAGTATTCTAATGACTAAAAGTGTTAATAATAACATAACACAACATAACAATTAATAACACTTTCACTGTTTATAGCTAATTAATTACATAATTAAAATTAGTTAATAATAATAAAAGCTTTGAAACAATGTAATGAAACTGTAATTTCACATTGTAAATCATGGAAATTGTCCAGTGCTATATGTTAATGTAATGGTGCCACATGTGGATTTAAGAAGGAATATCTAAATAAATAGTACTATGCATAAGGAAGAGAAGAGCAATACCTATACATATTTGCTGTACACAACCACCTCAATTATCTGGGTTTGACAAATGAATCTTAATTCGTGGTTTTCTTAGTTGGGGAGCAGCCCGATGCTCATATATCTGGCACCGCTTTGATGGCTTCTTATCCGGTTTAGAATTAATTTTGATCAGTTGAGTGGCCATTAGGTTGAACCACTGGCACAAGCTCTGATTTTAAAAGGGGTTACACACAAGAGATTTGTTTAGTTTTTTTAATAAGTAATGCTATCTCATTCTGTGTCTGTGTGTCCTCTGGCTCCAGGATGACCCCTGTTTCCTGCTGCACTTTGATAAGGTGCGTGCAGTGACAGCCACCAGCTGCTCAGCCAAATACTCTATAGTGCGTGCCCTGGTTGCTCTCAGCGACCAGCACTGTCAGAGGTCACTGAACCTGCGGAACTTTGACTGGGCCTACATCAAGCCCACCTCCTTTTACTCCAATAGAGGAGACTGTGTTGTTCTATCGCAGATATGCTTCTATGCATTCAATTTGGTTTGTCTGTCCATGTGTCCTGTGCCTCTGGATGCATAATGGAATGACACATTGATTGTGAAGAGTGTGTGTATATCAGAAAACTGTTGCAGGTTTACTTTATATAACTTGCGTTGAGTCAGCGGCGTGTGGAGAATGTTGGCTTGTGGCTTCTGTTACACTAAAAATGATTCACCATGAAATGTCTTTTGCTAATCTTCATGGCAAGCACAAGTTTAAAGCAGCTTGTTATTTGTTAACCATTTAATCTACTTTCTGATCTTTTAATTATGTATTCTATTCTGTATGCTATTGTTTAAATGTGAATTCGTGAATTTCAAATGGAGAACAAATAAAACAACTACACATTTATTGTCTTTTCTGCCTACAGCCTTCTTAAAAGTAGAATCTGGAGTTTAATTTCACTTTTTAAATTTGATTATCAAACATTATGCATTCAGGTCTTCATATAGAAATTGAAATTGATAGAGAATAATAATAATAATATATAATAATAAATCATCAGTTAGAAGAATAACCATAATTATGAAAAATGCAAGTAATTAAAAAAAATGTTTTTGTATCTGTCTCTAAATACGGTAGGCCACATGTTATTATCATTTATATATTTGTATTAGCTGTAATATCCCACTGTGGAGGTCTGATGAGAAACTACAGTATCTATCCACGTGTAGTTCAGGTCTCTACCTACAGGTGGCGCCAAAACACCGTTACTTTTACTATTACTATTTAAGTAGCCTTAAGATGTGCCTGACGACAATAAATAAACATACATCTAAATGTATATGAAACTGGGTTCTTTGGAGTTTGTATTCAAATTTCAAAACAGCAATGGTTATTTATTGATACATATATTTAATGTTTGCCCACATCGTGTTAAGTTACTTTAAATTTCCCCCCGGCACAGAGGGCACGGACTACAGCGGCTCCATACCTGCCGCCAAAATTCAAGTTAGAAGAGAGAAGAACGAGTGTCGCTGTTGTCTGTCGTAAACACTGGGCTTCTAACCTAGTGCTTCATCTTTTATAAGTTACCGATTTGGTATCCAGACGCCACAAACCTTGCCTCCGGAGTCAGCGGAGAGAGGACCGCGTAAAGATGCACATTAAATCTATTATTATAGAAGGATTCAAGTCCTACGCACAGAGGACGGAGATCAACGGCTTCGACCCGCTGTTCAACGCCATCACAGGACTCAACGGCAGCGGCAAGTCCAATATTTTGGACTCGATATGTTTCCTTTTGGGCATTTCCAACCTCACCCATGTAAGTGTGTTAACTGCTTTGAAGTCATTAAGTTGTCTGATAAAAGTTAGGTCAAGTTAGCTTGTTATTTTTGCCTTAAATTAAGCCAATCATGTAGCAGAGTTTGGTGTGGTAGAGGTAACGTTAGTAGCTGAGTTAGCTAACTAGATAAAACAGTAAAGTGGAAGCATCTTAACGCTATCTAACGCTCAACAAAACATTCTTGAAACGTGTATCTATTTATTTCATTTTCACTTGCAAGGTGCGAGCCTCCAACCTCCAGGACTTGGTTTACAAAAATGGACAGGGTGGTATCACCAAGGCCACTGTGTCTATTACCTTTGACAACTCCAACAAAAGCCAGAGTCCTCTGGGGTTTGAGACCCACGATGAGATCACCGTCACCAGACAGGTTGGAAATTTGAAGGCTCTATACTTAGTGTACGAGGCTATTGTGTGCAATCAATGCTTGTACTAAAACTGGGTTATATATGCTATGCTTTCTTCCTTTTAAGGTGGTAATTGGTGGCAGGAACAAGTACCTCATCAATGGAGTCAATGCCAACAACACCAGGGTGCAGGACTTGTTCTGCTCCGTTGGCCTCAATGTCAACAACCCACATTTTCTCATCATGCAGGTCAGTCTTGTGTCTGCAGCAGTGTGTGTGTGTGTGTGTGTGTGTGTGTGTGTGTGTGTGTGTGTGTGTGTGGTGTGTGTGTGTGTGTGTGTGTGTAGGTTTTTGCCCTCTACAGTATTTTATATGACGTGATGTTTTCATTATTTTAGGGGAGGATCACCAAAGTTCTAAACATGAAGCCACCAGAGGTAAAACATACACACACTGTCCACCAACTCACCATCAGTACCTTTTCCTTCACATGTTCCTGCCCTTTTCAGGTCTTCCAATGAACACCTCTTTTCTTTCAGATCCTGGCCATGATTGAGGAGGCAGCAGGAACCAGGATGTATGAATGTAAAAAGATCAGCGCTCAGAAAACCATTGAGAAGAAGGAGGCCAAGCTGAAGGAGATTCAGACAGTAAGTTAGACACCTAAACTCATTTCTTTGAATTTCTTTGTGTCTGTATTCATTGTGTTATGAGGAGGTGCTGTAAATACAACTGCAACTGATTTTAAAATGTTTGAACTGTTTCTCTTTGTTTACTTTTTAAGATTTTGGATGAGGAGATTACTCCAACCATGCATAAACTGCAAGAGGTAGGTTCACTGCAAAATCAAAACCTTTAAAATTTCCTGCTGTGGCTGAAGTGTGACAGCAAGAATGATACATTTCCATTATATGTTATATTTTTTTGTCATTATCTGGCTTTTTTCCCCCTAAAACTTCCTCCCTCTCCAGGAACGATCATCATACTTGGAGTACCAGAAGCTCATGCGTGAAATCCAGCATTTGTCACGGCTGTATGTGGCCTGGCTGTTTGTGTGTGCGGAGGAAACCAAGGTGAAATCTGCCGAGAACCTGAAGGTGATGCAGGATAACATCGCCAAGATGCAAGCTAGCATGGCCGAGAACGAGAGCAAAGTCCAGGAGCTCTCGGCCCAAATTCAGGAGCTGCAGAAGAAAAAAGACCAGGTACACTGGAAGACGGGGAAGAGATAAGATTGGGGTTTTTTTTTTTTTACTTTAGTGGAGCCCACTTTTATTCAGTTCATGAGCTCTTATGCAACAGTTTGCTTTTTTATTTGCCTTTAACAATTTTTCTTGGAAAAGATCCATGGCTGCTATTCGAGAATGATTTGATCTATTTGTAACTTTATGGTTCACTTCGCTTCAAAAGACGTGTTCAAAATTATTTGAAACCCATCAGAGTTCAATGTCTTGTATGGTTTTATCAAACTAGATCAAGGAAAAGAAATATCAAAACATTGCTTTGTTTTTCTTATGTTATCTCATCTGTAGGAGGTGAATGGAGTATTAAAATCCCTGGAGGAGGCTCTCGCTGATGTGCAACGAGTTGACGCCAAAGCTCAGAGTGCATTTGACCTGAAAAAACAGAATGTCAAAGATGAAACCAAGAAGAGGAAGGAGCTTGTGAAGAGTATGGAAGAGGTAACAAGACAATACATGTTGCTAACCTTTTAACAAATCAAATTCACATACAGGACAATTTGATCACAGCTGTTGATTTCCTTCATCTTCAGGACAAGAAAATGCTTGTGGTAAAAGAAAAGGAGGTTTCTAAGCTGACAGAGCAGCTTCAGGCTCTGCAGGAGGAGGGACAGCAGGACAGCGCAGCCCTTGAGGCAGCTGAGCAGCATTTTAGGGCTGTGTCTGCAGGCCTTTCAACAAATGAGGATGGAGAGGAGGCCACACTGGCTGGGCAGATGATGACCTGCAAAAATGACATGAGCAAGGCAGATACTGAGGCCAAGCAGGTGAGGAAGCGATTTAAACATATGTGATGGGGTGTGATGTTCCAGGTTTGGTTTTTTAGGTCTAAAAAGAAAAAAAAAATACTGTTTCTGTCCTTTCAAAGATTGTTCATCTATCTTGTCTCTGTCCTTCTGTCTGTCCAGGCCCAGATGACCCTGAAGCATGCCCAGGCTGAGCTGAAGACCAAACAGGCAGAGGTGAAAAAGATGGACAGTGGTTACAAGAAAGATCAAGACACCCTGCAGGCTGTCAGAAGCAGCAGGGAAAAACTACAGGCTGAGCTCGCAAAGCTCAACTATGAAGGTAGTGTGTGTATGTGTGTGCGTGTGTGTGAGCAGATGCAGACAGCCTCTTATACTCATGCTAGCCTCCCATTCCTTATGTTATTATCATTTTGGAATAACACTTGGGGTCTGTATGTGTGTCTTTGCAGATGGGAAGGAGGAGAGTCTGCTGGACAAAAGAAGGCAGCTGTCCAGAGAGGTCACTCAACTTAAAGAGACCTATGAACGTCTCATGTCTCGCTTCCCCAACCTGCGCTTCGACTACAAGTAAGTATCTGCCTCATTAATTTGCTCATCTCTTTAACTGTCAGTATGTTTCGAGTCTAGATGTTCCTACTTTTGTTATGCACCTGAACAAAATGGGGGCAAAATTGTCTCTCAAAAGGATTAATTCATATATTTTGAATTTTTAAATTCAATTAGTATAGCTCTTCCCAGACTTAAGTAGGGTGGAGCTACTGTAAATTTCATTTTCATTTTTGATAACTAGATTAGAATTGATACTCACAAAGTCGGCTACTGTGATGTTTTAAAACAAAACCCTATATCCGTATATAACAATATAACATGCGGATCACTATAATGCTTTGGAAAATACATCAAATAATTAGTCATGTGAATACGATGATCAAACAATTAGAATGATTCACTGCTTATTTTGTTATGTGTTTTAACAGTTTTTTTGTGCTGTACACATAAATAGATCCTTCAGGTTCTTGCTAATGTATTAAAAAAATTATAAAATCTAAGCTTGTATTCGTCTCCTTGGAGTAGTAACGCATGCCACTCAGTCCTGAGGTCTAATTAGTCTAAACGGACTGAAGGTGAAAGAGTGAAACCCCCTGTATGGGTGCAATGGTGCATCGGTCTTAACTGATCTGAGTAGACCTTTCTGGGGTGGCTATTGAATAGATTTTTTTCAAACCAGTTTGCCTGAATTATCCACTTGCAGCCTGAAACCACAAGTATACCCTAACCTATCCCTTTTAATTTGTAATAAGGAAAAGATTTCCAATGGACCTGCCTATTAAATTTCAACTTCCTGTCTCATTATGTTGGCTTGGGCTTTGACCAGAGCTTCAGCAGCAAACACAGCAAGTGTTATATGTGTTTTCTGCTGTCTTATAGGGACCCGGAGCGAGGATGGGACCGCAGCAAGGTGAAGGGGCTGTTAGCTAACCTGATCACAGTCCGTGACGTCTCCTACGCAACAGGACTGGAGGTTGTTGCAGGAGGACGGCTCTATAATATCATAGTTGACACAGAGGTAGGTGTGTTAGTGGGCAGTGTGCATGTTATTTTAACGCAATCATGTTTTGGTGTCTTTATGTTCTTATTTGCAGACCAGTTACCAGGATCGTGTTACCAGAGTTGGTGATGTGATTTTTGTCTTTGAACAGGTGACTGGTAAAAAACTGTTGGAGAA